GGACGCTGCGGACATGGGGCCGGGTCATCCTCTGTGGGGGGCCATCCTGGGCGCTGTGGGGGTCTGAGCAGCATCCCTGGCCCCACCCACTCGATGCCAGGATTCAGTGCCGAGGGAGATAAACTGATTTGCAGAAATTGCTACATTTTTTGGAATTTCTGACAGTTAACTGTTTGGAGATGACAAAACAGAAAAAGACGCCCAGTCTTTGGTGTATGTCAATTAGTCGAGAGCCTGCTCTTCATAAGCACGGGCGTGCGCGTGCACACACGTGTGAATTCCCTGCCATCTCTATGCTAAGGGGAGGGGGTGCCCGGGCCAGGGCCCAGGTGAGTCGGGGCTGCACCTAACTTGAAACCTGCCCTCCAGCTCTGCTTTTTGACAGTTACCGCTCCTCACATCTTTTGTTTGTGGTCAAGGCCGTGACCCCTGCCTCTGCCTCCTTAAGAAACTCTGTAATTTGATGGACAAAAAAAGTCAGGGGGAATCAGAGATCAGGAGGTGAGTCCAGCCGAGTTAAAATGCAGACACAGTGCTGGGGCAGACGCGGCTGTGCCCGGCAGGGTCGTGAGAAAGGGCCCCGCGCCACCAGCCTGCTCTTTGTCTAACTGTGTGACTCTCCCGCGGGCCGTGACAAAGCACTGTGGATGGGGTGGCTTGAAACAACAAGATCTCTCCTCTCCCGGTTCTAGAGGCTGGAGGTCCAAGATTGAAGTGTCCTAGGGCCGCGCTCCCTCCCAAGGCTCCAGGGGAGGGTCCTTTCTGCCTCTCCCAGCTTCTGGTGGTTTCCGGCATTCCTGGGCGCTCCTTGGGTATAGACGCATCCCTCCTGTCTCTGTCGTCATGTGGGCGTCTCCCTGTGTGTGTCAAAGAAAAACCAGAGATGGACAGTAGTTAGAGGGGTGGGAACAGAGTATACTGAGAAACAGTGGCGGGGGCAAGGAGACCTCCGTGTAGACCTGAAGACAGCACGGGCCGGCGGGGTTTACAGCCAAGGAGCAGGTGGCGTCAGTGGATGGAGAATTGCTAAGAAGAAACAGGGGGAGGGGGGAT